TTTCATCAATGATAATTTTTTATTAACCCCTCCCACTTCTGGAGTGAATTTAGTTTAATCATTGCTCATCGTACGTCTTATATCCGAACGTTTACATTTACTTATTTGCTTATTAGAAATTCACCTGTTCATGTTTTCCGTATTCTATAATGAAACTTCACGTTGAAAAGATTCAGCGTAGAATCCATTAAATCTAGAAAAGTTTTAATTTTATTAATACTTTAATTTCAACTGAATTTTCATCAATAATAATTTTGTATTAACCCCTCCCAATTCTGGAGTGAATTTAGTTTAATCAGTGATCATCGTACGTCTTATATCCGAACGTTTACATTTACTTATTTGCTTATTAGAAATTCACCTGTTCATATTTTCCGTATTCTATAATGAAACTTCACGTTGAAACGATTCAGCGTAGAATCCATTAAATCTAGAAAAGTTTTAATTTTATTAATATTTTAATTTGAACTGAATTTTCATCAATGATAATTTTTTATTAACCCCTCCCAATTCTGGAGTGAATTTAGTTTAATCAGTGATCATCGTACGTCTTATATCCGAAAGTTTACATTTACTTATTTACTTATTAGAAATTCACCTGTTCATATTTTCCGTATTCTATAATGAAACTTCACGTTGAAAAGATTCAGCGTAGAATCCATTAAATCTAGAAAAGTTTTAATTTTATTAATACTTTAATTTCAACTGAATTTTCATCAATGATAATTTTGTATTAACCCCTCCCAATTCTGGAGTGAATTTAGTTTAATCAGTGATCATCGTACGTCTTATATCCGAACGTTTACATTTACTTATTTGCTTATTAGAAATTCACCTGTTCATGTTTTCCGTATTCTATAATGAAACTTTACGTTGAAAAGATTCAGCGTAGAATCCATTAAATCTAGAAAAGTTTTAATTTTGTTAATATTTTAATTTCAACTGAATTTTCATCAATGATAATTTTTTATTAACCCCTCCCACTTCTGGAGTGAATTTAGTTTAATCAGTGATCATCGTACGTCTTATATCCGAACGTTTACGTTTACTTATTCGCTTATCTCGTTCCTCGTTTCCGTGAAATAGTACTCATATCTTATTCTTTTCCTCGCGATCTATCTGCCATTTTGTTTCCCTCGCGCATCCCCGTCTGTCGCGTCGCGTGTCTGCGTCTCTTATTTTCTTACATTTGCCATCGACATTTTGTCTCTTCCATTCAAAGGCGCGATAGAAGAAGTGATTACAGCCGGGAAGAAAATTGCCTGGAACGACTACGTTCAAAGGCGTATTTGCCCAGCGTTGCACTATTTCATACGAATTCCGGCATGAATCTTTCTCAGAAGGAACTCAACCAGGGAGAAAGGAACGAGCCTACGGGGATATAAGCGATAAATTTTACGTTCCGTGTACTACTTTGTGTACATCGCGCTCCGCCATTTGTGCAAAGAACCGCGCGAAACGATAAAATTGTCGAGATCCCCACTCGTCGATAATTGCGCCTTTTATTTGAAATTTCTGTAACGTATCAAATTTTATAACATTTTTACAATATTTTGGAAATAAAAAATTTTAAGCGAACTGTAAAACTTATAGTCATCAAGGAATAGCAACCAGAGCACAATGAAGAGTCGAGCACTTTGATCAGCGCTAGAACTTTGGCGACTTGTTATAGAATTAAAAATCGAAGAGTTTCCCCGGAAAATCAGTACGGCGTATAAAACTTTGTCTAAGAGTTCCGCGGGAAAGATCGTTCCGACGTTGATACGAATCTAGTACTCGGGCCATATAGCCTAAGTTTTCTAGCGTTACTCGTACGAAAAATTTTTTAGAAACTTATTAGAGACGAGTCGTGTTCGCTGAATTTATTTGTAAAATAAAATATTCCCCTTTTTTCACAATCCCTTCCATTCCTTCAATTTCTGTCCACAAAGCGTATCTTTGAGGTTTTAATACTACTAGTGCTTCGCTATGAACGACATTTTTCGTTGAATCTGTTTTTGACAGAAAAGTTAATTACGAGGCTTTCTTTCAATTAAGTTTTTTTTAAATTAGCTACAATTTAGTAAATCTTTAAATCCGTCTCGAGCTTCGATGGATCTTTTAAAGATGGCGACGTCAAGGTACCTATGCTACTTTTTATACACTTCTCGAAGCAGAAGCTCGAATTGGATAATTGGATGGATGATTCTCGTCCCCGTGCAGAGTAAATGGATTCTGTGATTGGTTGGCTCAAAGTTGAACTTCCTAGTTGGATGTGGAAGATGAAATAACGCGGTGAATGGGGGCGATTCCGCGGGAACCGCAGAAAGAATGTCGGAACAGATTTGCTAATATAAATATGGACACAGCAGGCGATAAACTATGGCGCACAGACGTGCAAACGAATATTATTTCAAGGAAATTTTACTCTCCCAATAGAGAGTAATTTCGTTGGAGCAAAAAGGTTTAATTAGGTGCTTTTCAGGAAACAAATAATTGTCTTTGTGCGTTATAAAGGATAAAATCGAACGTTCGTTTCAAAGGCGATTGAAATTTCTTAATGAGACATTCGAGAGAAAATACATTCCGTTCAAAGGAGAACTGTTCAATTATGGCACGACGAGCATTATTTTCTAAACGATTTTCGTATGTTTTTCTTTTGAAATATTATATGTACCCTGTAGTGAAAAATTTGTTTTTACTATAAATTATTTTGTGGAAAAATCTGTAAAATTCGAATCGCAAGAATGTAAGATTAGGAGTAGTAATTTTCCCGAACGAGGAAAATGTAATTTCGTGTAATTTTCCGCGATCATTAACGTGTCGTGGTTCGGTGTAATTTTGATAATCGTAGAAAGTGTTGCAATTCAGTGTGATTTTCCCAATCCAGGAAAATGAGCGTTTAATTCACCGAACGAAAATGTATTTTTATATTTTACAGGATGCATCGTTAAAAGTTTATTTTACTCGGTTAGGAAAATATATGAAATTCTATTTGCACAATTTTTGGAAAACATTTTCAGCCGTTTAAAAAATTTAAACGACAAACTCGGGACATTTTATGAAAAATGTTATTTAAATCTCAGTCTCGTTCTCCCAAATTGAGGAAAGTTATGAAAATGTAATTTAGTGAAATTGTTCACGGATGGGCCAAATATTGTAATTTGGTAGAATTTTTCGACCTCGGTAAACAGATCTTAGATTTCCACGAGATACGTTTGAATCTCGAGTTCGTTTTCCCCGAACGAGGAATAATTACGGTAAATTAGGTGGCGTCTGAGAGTCGTTACTCCGGTGCAAAAAAAATTGAAGACTCGTTTCAGTTTTATTGTACTTCCTATTTACTACGTGGTATTACGCTGTTCTATCTCCATTCGAAGCTCATTAAATTTCGAGTATGGCTTAAGCGCCATAGCAATTTAAAACGGATTTAATCCTTTGTGGGCGATTTCAGCTTTATGGAGACAATAAGTTCAAACCAGGAAATGTTTCGCAATCGCAACTTCGCTAACCAGAAAGGCTATTCTCGAACAACCTTCCGACTGAAACTGCATGAAATGGGATAATTAATAAATTCTATGCAGCTACTAAACGACGAATAAGGACGGATTCAATCCATTTGTATCGTGAATCAAATTCAGGATATATTTGCTAAACATTAAAAAATTCAAAATTTCAATATTCAAGATATGTACTGTAACTTTGTTTGATTTCCATAAAACCGAAGTTGGTGGGAGTCTTTCTCTGGTAAAACCAACATCTCCTCGAAAGGATTGAAAATTCAATATTCAGATGCTCACTAACGGACTCGATGATTTCGAAATTAATTCGAAAAAGGCCACGATGCGTAGCAAAAAAATTGCTGGAAGCGTAAAGTTTCGTCGATAAATAGATCCTGGGTGGAGAAACGCGTGGAAACTGTTTTACATACGGCTGAACATATTTGTACACCCGGGTGCCTGTATCGTTTCTGCAATCAGCAGAGATGTATCGTATTAATGAACAAACGCACTAGTTAATAACAATTATCATTGCCATTCGCGTATTACATCGCTCACGGGATACATGCCGCAGCTTCGACTAAGCTTTCGTGCTAACAAACTGAAACTACAACGGCGACATAAACGCGGAACACCCGATGCTTCGATTGCAAGGGAAACCAGGTGACAATAGCGTGGTGTTTATTCCGTATTCTACAGTCAGGCTGGAATTATTCCCGCGACTCGAGTAGAAACCTTCCAAGTTCATTTATCTTACTTTTCGGATACTATAGAAATCAATAAACGCTTCGAGAATTGGTAGAGACGTTACACAATATTTCGTTACTCTCGTCGAGTTACATAATTGCATATTTTCTTTTTAAATTTGAAAAAAGACGAGCAATCGTAGTTTCTAAATTTTTAGTGTTTTATTCTAAACTTTGTATTTGTAAGGTCATTTTTAATTAAAATGAGACCAAACGCGACTTAGTTCAGTCTCGTTTCAAGCACAAATATAATAGTAAAATTAGTAAATAGCCAATAATAAAAAAGGTTTCATCGTATTTCATTGTATTTTAGTATCCCGTTTGTTGAAACTGATGGTGACCTGGGTTTCATCTCGAGAAACACGAGGAACAATTGAATAAGAATTTAGTCCCCCATAATAAACCGTAAGAATTTCGTGTTTGCTGCACTATAGTTGAACACTCTCCTAATAGTTTCTCCGATGGTATCGTATTAATTTAAACGCCATTGTTTCCTTATCGACTAAAATAATATCAATTCAGCGGCACGACGAATAGTTCGATCCGTTTCATTGTTCTATTAATTATCCGGTGTTAATAGGATTCGAAATATAATGTATTGCTGGCAGTAAGCTCTGCCTAGGACCACGCGCCCAACTGATTGTTGTCGCTATTCAAACTATTTTGATTCGTAGAGTAATCGAAAAAATGTCTATTCCGTCGTATCTTTTGTATTTCGCAGATTTAATTGTCATGTTACAGTTGCTTCATTCGTTTCTCTGACTTTCTGTTTTAGGTCGGACATAGAGTACACCACCAACTCGTCGAAGACTTTCTTGAAGATCACGGAAGTGAAGCTGGAAGACGAGGGACTCTATAAATGCGAAGCCACTTACTTGGCGGTGAATCACAAGTGCAATAACGTTCAACACATCATTCTCAACGTCACTCGTGAGTACTTCAACCTTCCATTCCAACGTTAACGCACTGTTAATTGGTGACGAGACGAATTAGTTTATTAGCAATTTTTCACGGTGTTCGTTTCCTCGTGATGAAAATTATTTTTTTGAATATTCTTCTCGTTCTTAATTTTAGTGTCGTAAAAATTTAGAAAAGTGCAGAGAGGATTTTTTCATGAATTATATGCAGATAATTCAAGATTCAATGTTAATTATTCTTTTTAAATTGAGAATGAAAAGGAAATAAACTTCAGCCATCCCTGGGAAAATTTTAATGGGAGATTCTAGAGGCCAAAATAAGACGAAAATCAAGAATAATAATTTGTTGATGGCGGCTTCGTTAAGAAGTTATTAACGTTTAAAATTCCGCCCATACTGAATTTTTTTCTCGAAACTGAATAAGATTTCGAGGGTATATCAATTCACCAAAAATGATTGTAATTGACACTCGCAAACGAAAATAATTTTTTTTACAACGATTTGAAATATTTTTTTTCGCCGAAAAATTTTTCTTAAAAATTCGTTTTCCATTTTTAGTAATTTTGTTTGACCCTCTACAAAACAGTTGTGTAATACTTTTTTGTAGGTATTCATGAACTCTACTTCCCTCCAAAATTTCAATGCAATATATTCACTATTGTAGAGGTTATGGCTGTTTGAAAATTGGACCATTTTTATGGGATTTTTCTCATTTTGGGGGGTCAAGGAATAACTTTACGAATATTTTTGGAATTTCCATATATTCTTCAATAAAATACGCGTTGTTTGCATTTTGAAACATCAAAATCCTCCAATCTGTTCAGAAGTTATGATGTTTCAAAGATTCGCCTGACATTTCGGGGAACCATTTCAGGCCTCAGATTATATTTTCGGTAAGGAATTTTTTTCTCAAAAGTGGGTAGGATTTCGAGGTTATGTCTATTGACTAAAAATGATTGTAATTGACACCCACAACCGAAAATAATTTTTCCAGAATGATTTCAAACTTTTCGAAATTTCAGGGGAATCGAAATGTCAGAGTCAGACATTGTATTTTCGGTAAGGAATTTTTTACTCAAAAGTGGGTAGGATTTCGAGGTTATGTCTATTGACTGAAAATGATTGTAATTGACCCCCACAACCGAAAATAATTTTTGTAGACGGATTTGATATTTTTTAATCTCGTCGAAAAATTTCTCCACTTTCCTGAATTTTTTCCCCGAAAGTGAATAAGATTTCGGGGGTATGTCTATTCTCCAAAAATGATTGTAATTGAACCCTGCAACTAAAAATAATTTTTCCAGAATGACTTGAAACTTTTCGAAATTTCAGGGAAATCGTAATGTCATGGTCAGACATTGTATTTCCAGCAAGAAATTTTATTTCTCGAAAATGCGTAGGATTTCGAGGTTATGTGTAATGACCAAAAATGATTATAATCGACCCTTGCAACCGAAAATAATTTTTTCAGAATGATTTGTACTTTTCTAATTGAATAGTTAATAACTTTTTAACGGAGCCTAAGTCAAGAAATTGATATTCCTGATTTCCGTCTTATTTTGGCCTCTAGAATCTCCCATTAAAATTTTTCCCAGGGATGGCCGAACACCCTGTATATAATGAGAGATAATAGAAAGACCAGAATGTTCGTAAATCTAAACTACTTTCCCCCAGAATTTATTTTGCTTTCCGATTAAAGCAAGCTTCATCGCGATTTTTCTTTGTCCTCCGCATTCCGCCTTTCCATGCCCCTCTTTTTTCCTTTAAAACCTTGTTTACTGCCACCTGACTCGCGCCACATTCTTTAGCAATATTTCTTTTTTGGAATAGCAAAGCATAATTGGCCAAAGTCACGATCCTTTCTCGCCTTTTAAAAATACACAAGCAGCGGTTCTTGGTGTCCCCCGAGTTTCTGCATTATTTCCAGTGAATTCTGCCCAGATGTGTAAAAGAATGAGCTTCGTCCACGCTCGTATTTTCCTGATTACTTTTTTTCACCGTAAATTTCCTTTTTTCTCTCTCAAATATACGTCCGTGGTTATTTTTCTTAAGAAGTTATTACACGAGATTTAGGAGGGGGTATTTGATATTTTGCACGGCGCGAGATCGTTGAATATTCGAGGGATTTTCGACGAAGACTGATTTTCAGTTGTCAGGCCCTAGGATGCGGCGTTTAATTTAATTAATCGATTAAACGCTGACGATCTCCGGCAGTAAGATATGCGTGGAATAACTCGTATTAGACGTATCGTACTTGTACGATCCGTGTAATCTGGGTAATCCCAGTAATTCGACAAACGAGAAAGCCGCAGTACTAATCCAAAGTGGTAGCAGCTAAACCACTGAACCGGTTATCTTGACACACGCAACATGTCATACTATTAAAGTGCGGTTGAATTTACCAACATGAAAGGGATGGCAATTACTTTGAAATTTTAGCCAGAAACCGAGATTTCGCTCGACGAAGTACCCATCAGACGAACAAGCCTAACCGTGATAAATGTCGCTTTGAACGACCGTCCTCAATTTGGCGCCAAAATCGCCCACGCTGAATACAAAAAAAAAAAAATCAATTTAATCGAGCAAATCGAATCGATATTGAAAATACAAATTAAAAAGACGCTATTATTATTATTTTTAAAATTATTCTTTGCGTATCTTTGATTCGTAAGTTCATCGAAAAGTAGCCTTCAGATTTTTTAAATTTTTATATTGCTCTCTGGTTGTATAGAATAGTATATAATAGTATATAATAGAATAGGTAATTGAAACTGTTACTCTCGTTCAATGAAGGATTCATTTCATATAGATACGAAATCTTAATAGGAATTCATCGTGAAAATTTGCACATTTTAATTAAGCAAGGCCTTTATTAAAGACCGCCACATTGTTGATTCGCCTTTCCATCGATGGAAACTTGAATACCTAATATTCTTCATATCCCAACGAAAGTATATTCGACTCGTCACCGGTTGAAACTAATTTCCAAGAAACGCCTGAATTCTTTTAAATTTCACGATCGCTGTTCGAGACAGATTTATCCCCTTTCTTTGGTACCGGCCGGTTTCTTCGTTCCCTTCGAAAGTAGAACAAATCAGATGGAACAATTTTTCTCAAGTTTGCTTCCGCGTGGCCTCGATAAAGGAAAACTTCCGACGGATCCACCGGAATGGAACTCGATTATTATTATTCCCCCCCGATATATCTGAGAACTACTTCAGAAAAATTTGCTCGTCCAAAACGTTCCATTAAAATTCCATCGAACCTTCATATTTCCTTCATCGAAACAATACACAAAACCAATACTAAAACTAAATTAATTTTGTCGTGGGTAAAATTTCAATTAATTAATTTTTGTAAATTTTTAATTTCTAAATTACGTAGTTTATCCCAGGTGTATTGAATACTATATTTTTTGTGGGACTAGGAAGATTTTAATTATATCACTTTTGTAACTGTTACTGAAAATAAGGAGAATTCTGAGATCCTTCGTGTTTTCGGATACAGGTTGAGAGCCACTGGCGCGGAGCGTTTTTCATTTCATTTTATTTAATTAATTTTTAAAAATTTTTAATTTTTAAATTACATAGTTTATCACAGGTGTATTGAATACTATATTTTTTTTGTTGAACTACGAACATTTTAATTATATCACTTTCGTAACTTTTACTCAAAATAAGGAGAATTCTGAGATCCGTCGTGGGGTTACAGGTTGAGAGCCACTGGGCGCGGAGCGTTTTTCATTTCATTTTATTTACCTAATTTTTTAAAATTTTTAATTTTTAAATTACATAGTTTATCCCAGGTGTATTGAATATTATATTTTTTTGTTGAACTACGAACATTTTAATTATATCACTTTCGTAACTTTTACTTAAAATAAGAATTCTGAGATCCGTCGTGGGGTTACAGGTTGAGAGCCACTGGCGCGGAGCGTTTTTCATTTCATTTCGTTGACACCTGTCCACGTCTCTCGCGATCCCCCCCCAAAAAGAAATAATCGTCGAACGTTTATCCACCCGAAAGTTTCGCCGTCCGTGAAAACCGCACACCGGCGAAACACTGTCCGAAAAAATTGAGGAACAAGCACGATGTCTGACAGAAACGAAGCCTGTCAAACGTAGATGTAACGGTGCTTCTCGTTCTCCGCTCTGTTTGTCGACACGTAGCCTTCCACTTTATTAAGCCACTAATGTGATGGTCGGAGGGGGCGAGAAAGTTTCACCGACCCTCTGTGAAAGTTGAACCGTTCCGACGAAATTTTCATTTTTCCCCTCCCCCTCGCTCCCCCCCTCCAACCACCATCGATATTAAGGCGAAGGAAAAATAACGAGAAACTTTTCCAAGCGCTCGTGGAAGCTGATTCGATGGGCACGTGAGGTCGAGAATCAATTGTTCCATCGATATATCGAACGATTACGAGTTCGAAAACGAGAACTTCGATCCCATAGAATACTCTATTCGAATATTCGATTGACTTTGGTTAACGAGTAAATTGAAAACACCGGGTCGTAGATGACCCATGATAAATAGTGAATTATTTAAATTAATATTGCTTACGATCGTGAAGGTGATTCCTCGATTCAAAGTAGATTTTAGAAGGGTGAACATTTTCGTCGAACAGTGAACGGGGATTATTCGAATTGAAATTCGAACGAGATAAGAATTTTGTCTAATTTCGAGATGGGTTAACGATCGTGTCATTGAATCGATCTCATCAGCAGTCACGTGGAAAGTCGATTACGTCTCGTGCAATTCGTTGCTCGGCTGCGGAACCCTTTGAAAACAGTTTCAATAATACCATGGTGAAGGTGGAATCGATGTATCTCCTCCAGTCTGAATTAGAAGGGGGCCGCGAGACGAGCGCACGTCCAATCAGAAGTATTCTCGAGCCGATCGAAACCCAATGACCCAGAGCAGTCTGAAATCCCATAATTTCCAGCAGGTAGAAGATCTAATTGGATTGGCCGCGAGACAAGTAGCCCTTCCATACAATTTAAATAGAGCTGAATT